TATAACTCTAAGGAAACTATGGTTTGCCCAATATACTAGCTGGGTTTTCAGCTTTACTTAAGCGTTTTCTTTTAACATGTTTGCTGCACTTTCTGTTACAAATTTTGCCCAGTAGGCACGGACGCAAAAAAGACGTTTTTAGACGTCTTATACTCGTTTTGGACCTCTTTTGAACGTCTTTTGAACGTTTTGGACGTCTTTTGAACGTTAAAAAGACGTCTTTTTTAGGTCCGGTGTCCATTGGGTGTAAGTGTTTTATATCCGTTCCTATATTTATTAGTCTTTTTGCAATAGCAAATGCAACACTTTTCATCCGCAATAATTTTTCATGAAACAAAGGAATAATTTTAATTTTGAAATTGTACATAAAACATAAAAAAAACGTAAAAACTGAGGGCAATATTCTTTGCTTTGCATTTCACACTAAAAGGTTTTTTAATTTACCTGATCTATCTCATTTCCGAGCTGAGATTCTACGCTTAAATGAGGATGGATTATCCACGCCTACAATCTCGTTGACATTTTCTGATCTATTTTTCCGATGTTATAAAATGTTTAATGTTTTTATATTCACATACTTATCGTAACATCTTTGATGAATTAAGAAAGTTGTTGGGCACGTATCAGCAGGTCCGTATCCAGCATTATTTGGTCTTCGAGATTTTTGACGATATAAAGTTTAAACCCCCTCAATTTGAGGGGGTCGCAAAATTTATATTGTTATAATTATTGATCACTGTAATATTTTACTATGAAATTTAAAATTTATCGATAAATATAAATCTGTCCAAAAATAGTACAAAAATATTTCATCTCAGGGCAGGGGAAGCACAAATTCTGGGGTTTTTTTGTTCCCAAGCTCCAATCATCGCAATTTTTTGCAAAGCATCCTCATTTGACATAAGTATAAATGACAAAAGTATATAAATGTTTGGAGTTTGCTCCATGTCTAAAAGTTAGATATCGCGAAGACCAAAAAATGCTGGATACGGACCTAAATTTCAGGTAGAATGTTTATTATTTTAAAGTTATTTCGAATTTGACAATAGTAAAAAAAAAATATTGTTATCAAATTTACGCTATTTATTGTTTTTTCCGTACCATTGTTTAAGGCATTTATAAAAAAATAAATTGTGTTGTACATTTAGTTTGTGACTTACGAAGCATTGTAAGTCACAATGTTTGGTTTGCAAGTCACAATCCACAAGTCTTCACTTTCGCAAGCGCATTTTCAGTAAAACCACGCAGTTTGTTATTATTACGACCAACTTCACCATGATGAAGAATACAAGCATTTTTAATTTCTTTTTTAGGAACCAGATTAAAATGCTGCTACTCGCCATTATTTATTTTAATAATAATAAATAAATAAAAATAAAACACGTTTTTTTAGTTTTATGTTTTATATTTTTGCATTAACCGTTTCTTTTAAAATGATTGCAGTTTGTTATGCAAATATTTTGTTTTATTTATAAAAATGACTTTGATTTTTTTCTTTTATTTATGACGGTAATTCTTTACTTTTAAAAAGAACTTCGATAAAATAAAAAAAATTAATCAGTTTTTGAAAAGTAAACAATATTTATCTCTTAGATTTATTAAATTAAAATTATTTAAAATTTCATATTTTTAATACAATATTAAAGAAAAAATTAAAAACAAGTTTTTTAAAAATAAGGTTTATGACGTTTTGGTTACATAGATTTGAGTAATTATATTTAAAACATCTAATTTTACAAACAATTAACTCCCTATAAATAATTTGTTAAAACTAAAGTAATGCTTTGCGGTATTGGATTTATAAACAACATGGCGGATATATCATGCTTGAAATCTTTTCAATAAGCTGCATCAATTTTTGTCTCTAACTTAAGTTATAAGCACTTTCCAAGTGGCACGTAAAAATTTTTTAACTTCTTAAGTTATAAGGAACAAGTCTATGTAAAAATCAGAATGTCCACTCAAAATGTTTAGTTTCCCTATTTTTTTTACATGTAGCGACCAAACTAAAACTAAATATCACTTTTTTACAAAAATATGATTTTTTTACGTCTAAGTTTTATTAATAATAAGTTCTTATTAAAAAGCGCTCATGTATCAATTTTGACATTTTAAAACAGATGAGCTAGTTCTGATTAAATACAATGCATTAATTTAAAAAAAAAGTTAGAGTTTTGTAGGTAGTTGTACTTTTTAAAAAAATAGTTAGAAAAGCGAAATTATCTATTAATAATTGATCAAATTTATATAAATATTTTTAATGTTTATATAATTATATTTGTTGTTTAATGGTTGTGCTCAAAATCTAGATTATGTGTTGAAGGTTGTGCTCAAACTGTATGTTTTAGAGATTAAAGCTCTTTATAGAATGTCTGCTCTTGAGTATAAGAGCATTATAGTAAATTTTAGAAGTACCGAAACAACCATGATAGCTTCTTTAATATTGTTTAAGCAGCATGTTGCAGCAGTTGAAATATCTAAGCATGGTTGGTTAGCCTGTATAGCGCATGTTTTGTATTTAATAACAAAAGAAGTAAACAATCATGATGATTCAACTATGATAAAAGTTTTATGCTTGGTTTATAGTTTTGTAGCATCAACTCAGTTAAATGATTTATTAAAAAATTAACAATCTAAATTAACACCAAGAAAGAAAGCTGTTAGTGTTATTCAAGATATACTAACTCGATGGTTGTTGACTTATTAATGTTATGTTAGTTTATGGCGGAACAACTCCTCAAATTGAGAATATGTTTTGTAACAACCAATCTAACCGATTAAAATTAAGAAATAGCATACTAAAAATGTACTAAGTCCTGAAGCATACTAAAAATATACTAATTCCTTTTAAGATTTTTAGATGTTTTTTAGTCTAAAACAAGACGCTATTAGGTGTATACCATTAGTAATATTATCTATCAGACAAAATTTGATGATTGGAAAAGAAGACAATGCAATTCTTCCACCAAATTTTTTTTGTTATTTAGGTACCCCAAGAAGAATTTAACCAGGAAGTTCACGAAAAATGATCCAAGATATATAAAAGATGAAAGAATGAGCAGTACGAGCAGTCAAAAATAATTAAATATTAAGCATCAATAATCCTTTCGGTACTCGAAGCACATATATATATATATATATATATATATATATATATATATATATATATATATATATATATATATATATATACATATATATATATATATATATATATATATATATATATATATATATATATATATTATTTTAAATATATAATATATATATATATATATATATATATATATATATATATATATATATATATATATATATATATATATATATATATATATATATATATATATATATATATATGTTACTGATATATAGAAACTACCTAAGATAGTTAAATTGTATATTTATAAATTCATAACCAAATAAACTACGCATATACGGGGAAACGTTCGTAAAACAAAGGTTAAAATCTCTCTACATTCATCAGAAAGACACAACTTTCGCAATAAGTTTTAAAAACCGTATTTCTCACACGAAACAATTTTTTTTAAATGAATGTTTTAAATGTATATTAACTTAATGCCTTTAATATATTATGCTTCATGTTTAAAACATGTAGATAACATTTGTTACTTTGTGTTTCAAAATCTTTAATGGTCGAAACTTAAAAACAAATATAATCTTCATATAATTAACAATCTTATTGCTCCTTTTTGCCGTTAAAACAAAGAACAGTTATTTGTTTCTTTCCAAGGTCCTTGACTCAGGAACAAAATAGTCTCACTTAATTTTTTTCTACCAAACTGTCTTTTGCTTTATTTAAACAAAAACTTAAAAAGGTTTTATTTTTAATTGAAAGTATCTTTATTTAATTTTAATCTTTTTTTGTATATTGTTTATTAACAATATGTATATTGTTTTATTTAACAATATATAATTTATCTTAATTTTTTTAAATTTTTTGCATAATAGTGTATAATTTTTTTACTACAGACATTGTATTTTTATCAAAACTAGACCATATATTATAAGGGGCTTCATAATAAGATCCTCTTAATCTTCTAGAAGTCCCGTCGTTGATAAATTGTTTAATATGTATGATTATTCCCAGCCAGCATGTCCAATTGGGCCCTATTTGGGGCCCAAGTGGGCAGCTATATGGGGTCCATATGGGTTGCCCATATCCCACCCAAGGAAAATGGTCCCAATTCACGCCATATGGGCTGCCCACTTGGGCCCCAATTCACGTCTAGCGACAGAATCCTAGGTTTGATTTTTAATTGTTTTAAAGCAGTGAAAAAAACAACAACTTAAGTGTTGCTTAAGTTTCAGATTTTCTAAGATTGATTAAAATTAATCTATAATTTTACCAGAATTTATTTTTTGCAATGTGATTTAGATTAATTATGCAGAATGTATTCAAATTATATGAAAACTATTTAGAAACCAATTATAAAATTTCAACATTTTGAGGAACAGGAAAAATACGCTGCTACGCATTTACACTAGATTAGGCTATATATAGCCTAATCTAGTGTAAATGCGTAGTGTAAATTAGGCTATAGCCTAATCTAGTAAAAATGGTATACAATTTTTACAGGTCGGATTACTTTTTAGGCGCCCGAAAAACATACTGCAACACCGAAACACAAAAATAAGTTATCAATTTTGCAGGTCGTATCTTTAGCATATTTTAAAGAACCTTTACATTTTGCATGTTAAAATAATTATAATTATTATTATAAATATTAATTTATATATAATTATTAAAGCCAATACAATTATTATGAACAATAAGTAAAATACAACATTATAAACACCTCGAACAAAATTGGAAAATGCATATTATACAAGTTAAGCAATAATCGTTCTAAAAATGCATAAAATATTCGAGTTTAGTAGAACAAAAAATTGCAAAAATGTATATACCGTTGATCTAAATATCACAAATGTTGCATTATTAAAACCAGGAATTTGTTTATAACAAAAACGATAAATTAAATCAAGTATATAATGTAAATAAAAATGTTCTCAAACTTAACAAGAAACACCAGTTATAGAAATATTCAAAAAAAAGAGATATGTACATCAAGTAATAAAACAGCAAAAAAAATGTACATAGCAGGCAACAAATTTGCATTGATGCATGAATTTATATTATAATCACTTCCTGCTTTCAGGTTGTTTCTCCCTCTTGACGTAGCCTCGTTTCCTTTGTTCTTTTGGCTCTTTCCGCTCGTTTTCCACCCCGATCTTGCGCCCCAGTAAACCATTTACCTATAGCTATCTCGATATCTTTCGCAGTTGCACTCGAAGTGAGCACATTTTGCTGAACAGCACCTAAAAAAAGTTATATTTACTAAAACACTCACTATTTCCTTGATATAAATTTACAAAAGAGAAAAAATCTAGGTCATAGACTTTATAGTGATGCAATATTTTTATTTATTATTAAATAAAAAAAATTAACACAACAACACAAAACACTTGAAAAAAAAAGCATCATTAATTAAATGTAGACTTATCTTATAAGATTACAGTACTACTATGATGCAAATATATTTTCACCTTTAATTTTTATAATTAAGAAATTATTTGGGCTCAAATAAGTTCTTAATTATGAAAATTAGAGATGTATATCAGATGAATATATATTTTTTATAGCTCTTAATCTTGGGCTATACAAAATATTGTTACAATAATAAATAACAACAAATACAAAATACAATTTTATACGTACTGCACAATATATTGAAAAATTCAGTTCCCTTTATTCCTTTTTTATTGTTTGTTCCACTATAATTAAATTGGAAAGCTACGTAATCTGGCATCACTGCTTTCATCATCCTTGCTACAGCTTCAAAAACTTTCCGTCCTCCAAGACTGCTCAAATGAGAAACCTATATTAAAAGTTACTATGTATTTTAACATTTACTCAAATTTATAAATAAAAATTTATTTCATATTAGTTCTTTCTGATTAATTAAACAAAATTGTTTGATTGCATTGTAGAGTTATATTTATTAAAAGCATTTAATTGTACAAATTGTTCATAATTATTTCAAAAATACACAAACGGCACTTCTATCATAAAATTTGCTTAAATTATATAATGTAATTTAAACATATACTGTTCTCTAATCAGAGCTTAAGAAATGTTGTAGTCTGTTTTGAGCTGATTGTTTAATAGCTGGAAGTCATGGAGTTCTTTTATAGGAATAATGCCACGGGAAAGTTGTGACGCTTGGCTTACCACATTTTGTTGTTGCACCAAAGCATTTAAAATATTTCCATGAATAGTTTGGGTGATTTTTATTTCCTGTAAAGTTTTTAGAATTGCTTCGAGATAAGGTCTCAAATTTGAGCCTACAAAACAGAATAACTGAGCATTTAAAAAAATCGATTACTGCTGTTAACGCTACTAATTCTGATATAATTAAAAATTGTAAAATAAAACTGTAAGGTGTTATCGTCAACAAAAATTGTAAAGAAAATCAGTGTCATACACATTACAATTATGCAGTAACTGCAGCAGGAATTATTTGCATTAAATCTTGCTTCCCATTGAAAAAATTGATGAAAGTTGTGTGTGCAAAAATGTGTATAATAACAATAATTTATTAATTTTATTTTTGCATGAACGTAATCGTATACTATAAATAATATAAATTACACTAACCTCCTGAACGAAAACCAATTGCTGATAATGACGAAGAGCTCGGCACGTCAGTAAGCAAGGTGCAAATATCAGAAATAAAATAAATATATAATTTAGTAAAGACTACAGCCAAGAAACTTAATTAAATTAGGCTTTACAACACATCTAATATTATACTAACCTTGGATATCTTGGCCATTATCAGGAACAACTTCAGCTACAGAAACAAGAGTTGTGTCATGAGCAGTAAATGGTGTGTGCTGACTGCTTGAACTAGTAGTAGGCGTACTGCAAGTTGCTGGTGAAACGTGTCTAACAGAAAAAGCAGCAGGGAGAATTTGTTGTACAAGGCGGACGACGAGGAGTGATTTGTAATGATTGAACAGATGTAGAACTTGAAGAATTATATTGAACATTAGAATTTATTCTTGGAGGTGGACTGGGAGGTTGCAGCATATTTGACTTTTTTCTAGGAGATTCTTCATTGTCAGTATCAGAATCTGAAAAAATTCGCTTTGAAGTAATGAAACGCCTTGAAGTAATGAAAATGTAAAAACATTATATATAGTTAAGAAATAGATCATCCAACAGAAAATGGTTTTAGTATTTAATTTTGTTTTTTGTTTGGATAACTTTTATATCCATTTTTATACACTCATGTTGTTTGTATGGTTCTTTATAACGACATTTAAATGCCATTATAAAAGAGTTAAAGCAATGTTTTACAACAAGATGACCTTCATGGCGTTAAAATGAAGCAGGTTGTACTGGATTACATGTTACTAATAGCAGGATAAACTTACTTTACGTAAGGATAACCTAACCTGACTATAACTGAATATTAATTTAATAAAATGATTAAAATATAAGTTACATATTTTATGTACAAATGAGTTACATTGTTTGAAAATTATCTATTAAATCGAAATTTAATTATGGATTGAATGTAATAATAAGGAAACAACTCAATGGAAAAACAACAACAAAAAAATCAAACAAAAATGGGTTTTCTTACCCATGTTTATTCGTCTTTAAGGTTTGTTTGCGCACTGGAGCATCTTGGTCAGTCATGCCAATGTCTGATTGACTCAAGGCTTTTGTTACCCTTTCTTCAGCCCTTTCATAAGTTGCTAAAATATACAGCCAAAAATTGATATTAATTCATGCTCAACTTTTTTTTAAATTGCTTTGTATCATTTGCATCAAAAAAATTATTGTGTGAATACAAGTTATGCCTACAAAAACGTTATATTGCACCTGCTCTTCCCAGAACTCTAACAAAAAACTTTGGTCAATTTAACCAATGACTCACACTGATCACTAACAAGTTTTTTAATTGTATTTCTGCTTACTTTAGAAGGAAAAAAGCACTCTTCTTTCTCTTCTGAAACAAACCATGACACTGGAATAGTGGCTACACTATGATTACTTATAGACTCGACGATAGCAAACTTAAAAGACATGTTACTGCAAATAGAAATTAGGAAGTTAGGAAATGTTACTATATTTATATAGTGTCATTTCCTATATTTGAAATATAGTAATATTTAATGGATATAAATATTGAATACAAGATTTATTAAAATAAATATAAACATATTAAATAAATATTTAATTAAATATGTTGTAATAATTTACATGGTTTAAATCCTATATCTGATTCCACAGATAGAAAAATTAATACTATATTAGCAATGATATTACATTAAAACACATTATATTTTTTAACTAATTAATATAAATTATTGAGGATTTATATAATAATACTCCACTTAATTGAATAAATTTTACAAAGAACTTTGAAAGAATGAAAAAACGGTGCTAAATTTTTCATATGCATTCAGCTATGTTAAAGAGCCATTAAACACAAACTTTTTGGTCTACAAAAATTATTTACCATAAGAATTATTAGTCATATTGACTAAATTTATTCTTGATGCAATAAAGGCATAAGAACAAAGTTATCACCAAAAGGCATAATAACAAACTTTTTTCCAATCTTTTCAGGCGGAACAAACTTTAGATCTGTGGATAAATGAGCAGCTAAAAATATTTCCAAATGAGTAGAATGTAATGGATAAATAAAAAATGGTTCCAAATGAATGAATTCGTTGTAAATAATGAATGTATCATTTTTTGGTATTTGCAATATATTTATGACAATTGATAGCTTCCCTAGCTTTTAAAGCAATTGTTGCCAACTGTTGATGAAATAAAAATACGATCTGCTTTCAAATGTTTATATTGTTGAAAACTTTCTTGAGAAAAGTTTTGTGGTACAGGACCAGCGTAGTGTTCTTTCGAAGGCATATTTTGCTGAATAGTGCTAGTATTTTCTGTTTCGAATAAGATAAAGTCTTTTTCATAATAGCGTCTCATTATTTGAGCAATTGGATTCTGAGTTCTTCTCACCATTTTTTTTATTTGACCTAAAAAATTTTCAAAGGGAAATGATGATACTTTATCTAGTGCTCCAAAGTTTCTACAATCTTGTGGCAAATGAATGACAGAGTGTACATTATATATAAGCTGGTTTGAACCATATATAGTTTCAAAATCGCTAACAAACAGAAGCAACAATTTCTCTGCATAGTCACAGTACTGCAAACTGTTTGCAAATTCAGGTCGCAGTAAACATATCATTGCAACAGAAAATGTTAGAAAGTTACGGTACATATTGATGGGAATAGCATCACGAAGAACAACTGCTCCAGAATATAACATAAATTGACTTCTCAGTTGCCTTCCATTGTTTTTATTCCAGAATTGATTGTGGTCGCCTGGCAAATTCACGAGGCATGTGGCTTCTCAACATAATTAAGTTTGCAGATATATTCTGTTCTATCCTTGATGGCAACCTATAATGCAAATCTCCTTTCGTCCAGAGACTAATAATTCTCCTAACTATGCCTAAACAAGTAAGGTGCATATAGTCAAGTGGAAATTTAGAAACTAAACCAATATTAAGTTCTAGCAAAGGTGACCGTACATTGGGTAAATGATGGTCCTCATCTTTTTGCTTAACAAAGTCATTATCGGTTCTGAGCGAAGCATGCAAATTTGGATAGGTCATTTTATGGTCCAAGTAAGTGCCTTCCTCTTCACAACGCTCACATGCATTATAACCTCCATGCCCTTTAATAGACTTTAAATATGATCGTGCTGGTGCATCACAAATAATTGCATTTACCCCAATAAGATACACTTGATCTAAATATCTCACACCATTTTGAAATAAATGTTTCATTTCAATGATAAAAACATTTAAAAATGTATTGATACATAAAGGCTATGATGATCCAGCATATAAGCCAATAATAAAAACATCAACTTTTAGTAATTCAACAATACTGCCTAATATTGGCCATATATACGTGAGCTGCGAAATAGCGGCAAACCGTCAATATTTATATTAAGAGACAATTTCTTGATTTCAAAATGAGTGACATTGATTTTTTTCCTTAAAGATGCGACTATTCCATTTTCAATACCGAAATGGTAATAGTGTCCGCCAGGAATCTGCTTAATCTGTGTACTTTTAGGTGTTTTTAGCAGAGTTCTGGAATCTTTTGGTACTGATAATCCGGCTTGCCACAAAATATGAAGTAGTGATGTTACAGCTGCATGAGAAATGTTGAATAAAGTACCCCAGTCACGTAAGCTACTGTTAATGTTAAATTCACTATATTCGTATAAATCATTTTCACACTCACTTGCCTCACTATCCGAGTCAAAGGTTTCATTTGAGTCATTTTTGTAATCATGTGGAATGCAGCAGTCACCATTTATTTGAAAATCAGGTATAGTATCCATACATATTATTTGGTCGAATGTCTCATTAATAGAATTCGCAATTTCAGGCAAGTGCATTTCCATAGTAGGTAATGTTGATTGTTCTTGAAAATTGGCAGAATCAATAATATTAGCTGTGTCGCTGAGATTCAACATTACCGATTCAAACGCTCTTTTAGCTTTCCTTTGTATAGTTCGAATACTGAACGCCATTGTGATATCTTATAAAATAAAACATTATAGTTTTCTATTTTTGCCAAATCAATAACTTTCCAAAAATAAATACATAAAATGCTTAAATTTAATAAATTATTTTGATGCAGTTAGATAGAGTTTTTTTTATCTGTGGTCATTATGCAATCATCAACGTTCTATGTAAGATGATGCGTATTACATACGCAGTAAAACCACTGATTTAAGACTGAAAAGGAAATTAAAAAAGAAATCTATCATACAAAAAAAAAATTAAATAAATTTTTCTGATTAAAATATAAAATTAAATAATATTCCCTCACTTTTCACTGATTTTAAAGGATTTTTTTAAAAATGTAATAAATTTTAGGTATTCCCTTTATCTTTCAAATTTTGAAAGATTAACCTGGGTGCCCTGTATATACATATACAAAATTGCTGCATACGTATGCAGCAATTTTAAGACATTAGCAGGCTGGAACTAGTTATTTGCAATTAACTGTACACTAAATACTCATAGTGTGTGCACAAAAAAACAATTTGTATAGCCAATGTCGTAACAATTTTTAAACCAAAAACAAAATTAGTTAAATATAAATTTTGACTATCTTGTATATTTATACTTTTTTATTTTAATGAACTCAAATACAAGCAACTTTAAAGTGAAGTTTAAATTTTGATATAAACAGCAACTGTCTTAAATATTACCAACAAAAAAGCATTAAAACAATACTACAGTACATGTACCATAGGTAAAATATAAAAAAGGATAAATAAAATTAACAAATAGCAAAAGCTTTATAACAATAATCAAAAGGCAGTCTATGATCCATTGAATATTTACAGTCAGTTGATTATGCTACCCAGGGGATATCAAGATTGTTCAATTAGTCTGTCACACTAATTGATCCATCTTAATATTTACCTTTATACAAAGATTAATACATGTATTATCGTTTAAAAAAAAATTACAAAACGTAATGAAATATTATATATAAATAGCTTATTTAAAATGCCAAAGGACAAAAATGAAAATTTAAAACATACAGAACTTTTCAGTTGTATTATAATTGTTTAGCAAAGTACCACATACCAATATTTATAAACTAGATTTTATAATAAAATTATTTTTTTTATAAATAATACTAGAAATAAGCAACTTACAGAAAAATTGCTCTAGCGCATGTACAAAATTTGCGGAAAAAGCTTACATAGCATTTATAAACTGAGCGCTTTTGAAACTTTAAGGGCTGCCCATATGGGGCCCATTTCGGACCCTTTTAAAAAGCCCACGTATGGACTACTTGGGAAAGCCCATGTGGGGCCCAATATGACATGCTGGCTGGGTTATAACTATATTTAAATGGAAATTTATAAATAAAAAAACAAAATAATATATTTTATAAAAATAAATTTTATATTATTACAACAGAGAAAGTTTTCCTAATTATTTAAATAAAATCTTATTTGTTGCAGTTTTTTGCCAAAAGGTGACGCCATCTTCGCAAGTAATTTTTGCCTTGATAAGCGTTACAAGAAGTCTATTATTTTAATAAAAATAAGGTAAAACTACGATAGAACAAGTTTTAACTTTAAAAAACAAAACAAAAGGAAATTAAAATTTTTAGTCCTCAATTTAGAATAAGGAAAACAAAAACTTCTTTTAATGCCAGCATTATAATTTTATTTCTTATATATTTCTTATATATAATAAGAGAGAGAGAGAGAGAGAGAGAGAGAGAGAGAGAGAATAAGAAAATAAAAAAAGAGCTCTTGATTACATGTAAACGCTACTCTTTTATTGGCGTTTGCTTTGTACCTGTATTACTTAACGATATACTCCATAAGTAATACTTAACGAAATACTCTAAAAAAAAATATTTGAGACGGATGTAGATATATATGGCAAGCGATCTTCAAATCTTTTTCATATTTAGTTTTTCCAATATTTTTTTAATTTTTGCCTATGGTTATGTTTTTCCACAAAATAAGGGTCAAAGCTATGTCCCACAAAAAAAATGATTAAATAGTAATTGGTCCTTAGGCCAAAGTATTTTTATTGAAAGCTACTAAAACCCACCCAAGTTGAGTTATTTGTAATAGATTAAAAAGAAAAACTTATAAAATTTTACTTTAACACATTGTTTTCTCTATGTTTTTGACAAATGTTGTGTAATTCATCGCACCTGACTAGCAAAAAGTTTGGATGAAGAAAATTGCCTGATTAAAATTGACCAAATCAACAAGCCGATGCAATTTGTTTAAACCACTCAAAAGCTTTATAAATGATTGCCATTGAAATGACCATATGGCTG